AGTTTCCACCCGTTGCTTCTTGTCCTGCCTTCAGGTGCCTTGGAGAATAGCTTGACTCCCTCTTCTTTAGGGCAGCCCCTGAGATATTGGAACACTGTTATCATGTCCCCCCTCGTCCTTCTCTTCATTAAACTAGACATACCCAATTCCAGCAACCATTCCTTATATGCTTTAGCCTCCAGTCCCCTAATCATCTTTGTTGCTCTTCTCTGTACTCTTTCTAGAGTCTCAACATCTTTTTTACATGGTGGTGACCAAAACTGGATGCAGTATTCCAAGTGTGGCCTTACCAAGGCATTGTAAAGTGGTATTAATACTTCACATGATCTGGGAACAGGAAGTTTGGGACGGTTGTGTGAAGTCGGCCTGCTTGGTGTATGGGTCCTTGTGAACCGTAAAACCGAAGTACTGCATAATTAGGTTATTTATTGTGCAAGTAGACCCAAGGGAGTGCCGTCTTCTTTAACCTACCTTAAAGAAGCTGGAAGTGTCATTCACACAACACCTTCACCTCATTTACTTTTGTTACGCTTGTTGTGGCTGATCACTGAAACTCGAGAGGCAATTGGCTAAGTTGAATTCCCACAATAATGGTGTTTTCACCTTGCCTAGCGTGTTGTGTAAAGGCAGCCTTAGGACAGAGGTCCCCAACCTTTTGGCCACCGGAGACCGCTTCCGTGGAGAGAGGTTTTTCCGTGGACCAGAGGGTGTGTGGTTTTGTGTGCTGCCTGCATCCCACGGATGGGGCTTTGCTTGTTTGTGCGGCCCGGTTGCTGGCATGCTGCAGCCCGGTACCGGTCCACAGACCGGGGGTTGGGGACCCCTGCCCTAGGAGAACTAGCCATGGACCCTCAGCTGGGAGAAATTTACAAACAGGATACATCAGTCTTCACAGGTAACCCCTGACTACAAAGTCATTAGCTCCAGAATTCAAGAGGAAGAGAGAGATATATAGCGGTGTTTGTACAGCTCCCTTACCGGCAATTAATTTAACCACGGTGTTTTCAATTAGCTTGGATTTGCATGACTCTGAGCTGTAAGCTACGTACTTGAGTTGGGTGCACACCGTGCAATGCCTCGTCGGAGGCTCAGCTGACCGGGCGCTCAAGCAGTACCACACCAGCCAGGCTCCGGGAAAGCAGAGAATGAGGGATCAAGGGGCCTTTGATTTAATTTTTATTTATATGTCATTTTTTTATTTCCCACCTTCATGATTTTTGCAAATAATTCCAAAGGGCAAACAAATCTAAATGCGGGTAGTCCTCGACTTACAACAGTTCATTTACTGACCGTTCAGAGTTACAACGGCACCGGAAAAAGTGATTTAGGACCGTTTTTCACCATTAGGACCTTTCCAGCATCCCTATATGATCCTGTGATCAAAATTCAGACGCTTGGCCACTGGTTCATACTTATGACGGTTGCTGGGTCCCGAGATCATGTGATCCCCTTTTGTGACCTTCTGACAAGCAAAGTCAAGGGGGAAGCCGGATTCACTTAACAACCGGGTTACTAACTTACCAACTGCAGTGCTTCACTTAACAACTGAGGCAAGAAAGGCCACAATATGGGGCGAAAGTCACTTAAATGTCTCACTTAACAACGTAAATTTGGGGCTTGATTGTGGTCATAGGTTGAGGACTGCTTCTATTCCTTTCTCGTTCTATTTCCCCCACAACAACATCCCTGTAAGGTGGTTGGGGTGAGAGAGAGCGACTGGCCCGAAATTGCCAAGTCAGCTTTTGTGCCTAAGGCAGGACTAGAAATCCCAGTCTCCTGGCGATTGGCCCAAAGTCACCCAACTGGCTTTTGTGCCTAAGACAGAACTAGAATTCCCAGTCTCCTGGCGATTGGCCCAAAGTCACCCAGCTGGCTTTTGTGCCTAAGACAGAACTAGAATTCCCAGTCTCCTGGCGATTGGCCCAAAGTCACCCAGCTGGCTTTTGTGCCTAAAACAGGACTAGAATTCCCAGTCTCCTGGCGATTGGCCCAAAGTCACCCAGCTGGCTTTTGTGCCTAAAACAGAACTAGAATTCCCAGTCTCCTGGCGATTGGCCCAAAGTCACCCAGCTGGCTTTTGTGCCTAAAACAGGACTAGAATTCCCAGTCTCCTGGCGATTGGCCCAAAGTCACCCAGCTGGCTTTTGTGCCTAA